CCATCCGCTTAGACCAATTTTGGCATACTCTTTCCAACATTTCGGTCGCTATCTCACGAATTAATGTTTCAATGTTGTCCGCCAATGCGTCAATTGAAGCGAGCTTGTCTGTATAGACATTAGATTTAACATAGCCCCACAAAAAATAGTCTAAAGGCGACCAATTGACTGGTCCCTAACGTGAAATAAAACGTTCACCTAACTCGCCTCTCAATGAGTCCTTTGTGGCACAGTCTTGTTGAAACCACATGTAACGCAAGTCAAGCTCTTGCATTTTGGGTAAAAAAATCACATCATCTTTGAAGAAGTACGGTCCAGAGATGCCACCAGCCCATAAACCGCACCAAACTGTGACTTTTTCTGGATGGATTGGTAGCTCTTGCAATGCTTTTGGCTGATCTTCACTCCGAAATCGACAATTCTGCTTATTTATTGGCACCCATTAAGCCGAAAAAATCACCCTTTACAATGTGCATACGTATATATTGCTATTATCAAGCCTTACCTGCTCGTTTTCATTATTATTTAAGTACATATTTCAGTTGACACATTTTCTATTTTCACCCGATTTGTAAACACATAGCCTTAATTAGGTGTATGTATGTGCATATATGTATGGGTATCTATTTTAAATTGATTACAGACCGTATTTGTTTTTTTAATTGTAGTTTTATTTAGTTATTTTGTATATTTATTTGCACTTGAACTTATACGTATGTATGTTTGTTTATGCAAATTTCTTGTCTTGTGTCGCCGTCCCATATGCAGCGGCAAAAAATATTATAGTTATGGGACCTTCGTAATGTAAAACATTTTAATAATTTTATTAAACAAAATCATTCATTAGCGTTTATTAATTATGGAATAGCGAGATGTTACTTCCCAGACATTACACTCCACTTCTATTGATGGCGTATATATAATAAATTAGGTGTAGTAAAAAGAAATCCATATTTTTTCCAATATATGAAGTCATTTATCTGTATTTCTTGTTGTATTAGTCCGATCGGGTTTCGCTAGATGGCGTTAGAAAGTTGACATTTCCTACTAAAAAAAACTTTTCCGAGAGTTTTTTTTTGTCAAAGATGGTCAGCAGCAAATTTTACAGTTTTTCTTCGATAAGAGCGAAAACACAAGCCAGGCAACTGAAAATGTGAATAGCGTTTATAGTCCTCATACTGTTACACTCAATCATGCACAATTTCAGTTTCATCCCAGTACTTTTGATGTAAAAGATGCTTCACGGATACACGGATACTGGATACGAAAAGAAAAAATTAAACTATTGAAATTTACTCAAAAATAATGGATTTCTTTTTACTAAACCTGATATTATAAAAACTTTGCTTAGTATTGTTGTTGCCAGTGATCTTCGAGAGTACCTTGCAATACACTGAAATTTACCTGTTGGTTTTTGTTGTTTCTGGAAAGGTTGTTAGAGAAAATTTTTTTTCGGCAAAAGTATCCGGGTCTAAAATATTCGGCAAAATCATATTTATGGTACGATTTAATTAAAAAAAATTGACGTTTCCCTTCGGAAGTTGGACCGGGGATCCATATATTCGATAAAATCACATTTATCAGCACATAGGTGGGTTTTTGCTTAGGTTAACGGAAGGAATACTCTCCCCTTCGCGGTCTAGACCAGCTACCGACATATTTGGGAAAATTGTATTTAACGGTACATATGTGGTCTTTTTTTTTTTTGCTCACATTAGCAGGAAGACTACTCTTCCCTCCGGCATGTGGAGCAGATACCGAACCATAAGGAAAAATCATGTTTATGGTTCGATTCACTTGACATTCGTTACATATGATAGGTGGCTTTTTACTTAGATTTACAGGAAGACTACACTTCCCTCCGGAAAGTAGACCAGATTTAAAAAAAAAATCTTTTCATCGGTACATAGGTGACTGTTTGCTTAGATTAGCGGAAAGGGCACTCTCCGCAACGGAATATGGGCCAGTGATCGACCTATTCGGGAAAATCATATTTATAGTTCTTTTAACGGGAAGTGTGCCGATCTATTTGTGGTCTATTTAGTGCAATTTTTAGACGATTTGCCAAAATAAAATACTTTTGTTTCCTGGAAATGAACCAGAGACCTTGAAGCGAGCTCGATTTGTTTGAAATATAATTAATATTTTCTTTAGGGAAAAGTGATCATCGACATTTTGATGAAAAATTTGGTACAATTTGGGTGTAAGCATAAATTTTTCGTAGATATGTTCGGGTTACAAGCTCTTCTTGCATGTACGTTCAACTTGAGTGTTAATTAGCAAAGATCCGGATGGTGTGCTTGGCTTTCGGGGCATTCGTATTGACATTTGAGCAGCGAAAAAGTGGCCCACACTTTCAAAAAAAAGTAGTTGGATCAATAATATTATATAATAGAAAGCTTAACATTTTTGCTTAAATGATGCTCAATTGGGGTTTTTCATCATGCTTGGAATACAACCACCATCTTTGGCAGATGAGAAGCTCGAGCTGCGGACATAATACTAGCAGAATTGAAGGTATCCAGCATATATACCATATACTGGACTCAACTCTTACTTACTTACTTATACAGAATTCACGCCGCCATACTTAACGTTCGGCACTAACCCTCTCAATCTGTTCTGAACTCGTTGAAACAGCTCGTTTCCTGAATCATCATGAAAATCATCTTGATTAACTGACCTCTATTTTTTATTTTTTGATCTAATGGTGTTTAACATTTGTTAACTATGTCAGAAGAAAGTTAAGGGCTTCATGGGTTTATTCAAGAGAAAAATACGTGCTTTTTAATTTTTTTCTATAGGAGTATATAAAAAATAATAATAAAATAATAAGTTTACCAAATAATACAAATTTTGGTAAAATTTTCTCAATTTATTTCTATTTGTTAAAAAGTTGTGATTCCAGGTGAATTGTATAAGCAAGAGCTTTCTGAAATTCCTTCAAAATCCATTGAATAGTTTTCGAGAACTTTTGACAACTGATTTTGATTTTTCTCAGCTGAGAAGCCCATGTAACCGACTACTGGCATGGTAAATTTAGTCGAAGTTTTAAGGCAACATACGGAATAAAAAATAATACTGGAGTACGAAAATATTGATACTACTAGTATCCATTTTATGATATCTCTTCACTGAAAAAAAAAATGGATTTTTGTTAGGTAAAGTACCTACTTTCTTTCCTAAATACTTAAATTCATTTTTGCCCGCAGCCGACGCACTATGCGCTATCGTCCAAACATGATTTCGTTTGCATGTCTGATATTTGCGAAAATTATTAGAGCCAAATAATTGTCAATTGATTCATTGCTTTAGTCATCAAAAGCGCTGAACACCGCAGACAATTAATGAAATTTCTAATATAGATTTATTTCTTTTTCTTTTTAATTTTTCGTCCACAACTTTTTTATGTATGTGCCAGAATGTCGTTTGATTTCTTTATTATAAATACTAACTACAAATGACCACTGAAAAAGTCAAAACAGTTCCAGGTAAAATTAAACGGCTAAGAATTTTGTATGCTGAGTTGCAGTAGAAAAAAAGTAAAAATATTGCCTACATTTTGGCGCAATAATGAAAAGTACTTAAAGGGTAAAACACTCTAGGATTTTGAAAAACGCATTTTTTTGCTCACAGCGTATCTTTGTGTCCTAGAAATGATATGCAATTGGTTTTAAAGTGAAAAAAAAAATATTTAAAATAGCTGAACTTTTTATTTTGCTGCAGCCCCTCAGAACGTGCGCTGAGTACCATGAAAATTACATTTTTCGAACTGGGAGGACAGATCCTATTGCATCGAACACAAATAAATTTTTTTAAATGTAAACTTTTTTTTTTTTTAATAATTTAGTACGTATGTTTTGGTTAAAAATCAATCTTTTAAAAAAATATTTTTCCGCTTTTATCAAAAATTAGTTAAAATATTAATCCGTACGTACTTCCAAAGGCCATAGTTTGTAGGTCGTAAAACTTTTTGCTTTTCCGTTCTAGGTATAAATCTTTAGAATAAATCCATCCTCCCGTGGTCGCCTTTCAAAAAAACACAGATTAAATAATGGACTTTATCACCGCGATTTTGTAAACAAATTAATAATTGAAGAATTTTTTTTTATACTTCAATATATTTTCAATGAAATGGTTAAATAGAAATTTTATCCCTTTTCCCATATTCATACATTCTTGAAAATGATTCTTTTTTAACCTCCACTCTAGTGAACATTCTAAACAGTCATTTCAATTCACCAGTTATGGGTTATCAAGAGATTGGAATTTTGAGTGGTGGGTATAAGTTCACCAATCTGAAGCAACGTGAAGTAAAATTAACTATAAACTCCTAATGCTGACTCATCATATGTAATTATCATCAAGGCCACTTCATTAGAATTTTTTGCGTTTCTTCTATCACATCAAAAACGATTTGCTTGCGAGTTCTTCGTTCCATGTATGTAGGCCACATTTTTGGCCCTCGCGAGTCCATCAGCATCAGCTCTTTGACTGACCGACTATTGCACTGAAGATACCTTATTTGCCCACTCTGGGGTTAAAGTAACTATACATGATTTTGAGATGCTCACAGATGTGTTCAAGGCAAGGCGCTCATTTTAGGTTTTTTTTTTAATAAAAAGTATTTCTTTTACCGCCGGGACGTAGCTATTAGTTAAAAAAAATCTGGCTTTAATGAGGACTGCATGATGTTCGTCCACCGCGGTTAACTCTGCGTCTAAATTTCTTTTTTCTACCACAAATCCGACGCCAAATTTGCGCTCATTCATATGGTCACATTCATCATGTCTCTCGGACTGTCGTCATCAATATTAGCAGTTCTCATTCGACACTGCCTTAACATATTGATTAGAACTTATTTTTAGATGGTGGGTTGCAAGCCCAGCGTCCACCTATGCACAGTTCTGAATATTAAGTTTTTTTTTTTCATTATATGTAATTAGTTTTTATCAAAAAATATTTATATAAACCAAATTTGTTTTTCTACTCTCTTGCAGGTAATTTGGCGTAGAATGCTATCGAATTTTCACAAATTAATGCGGTGCTCTTCGAGCGTATTGCAACCATCAACACCAGTAGGTGGCCGCAATGCCGGCGGCGGTGTTGTTGGATATGTATCCGATGCTCATTTGTCTTTTAACATCAACAATGACGACCCAAATATTGCCACTTGTTCTGGACGTGGCGATTGCTTGAATGGCACTTGCCTGTGCGACATACGTTATGCCGGCGATGAGTGTAGCGGCTTCAATCTACCATATTATGCCGGCATATCGACTGTCTTCTATTTTGTCGCATTGGTGTCGGTTATACAACTCTTCATTTGTATTATTGCCGAGTATCAACGTTTGAAACAGCCATCGATATTGCGCGCCTGTCGACTGACAACGCAAAAAGTCTTATATTTTATGGTATTTGTGGCAGCATCTTTGAGGGGTGCCTTCTTCACGACACCAGTAAGTAATGTTAAAGAAGAAGTTAAAGAAAAATATTTCATTCTTAATTTAATTTATTGTTTTGTCTCCTTTCCTTGTTGCAGTTGGATTTACAACCACAATGGGCTGTCACACTCATGTCTGCGTATTATCCAATGTTAATGACCTGCGCATCGCTCATTGTCTGTATGTGGGCTGAGGTGAGTAATGGCATAAATAAGTTTGGTTATAAGTGGGTTTTGGTTGGTAAAGTAAAGATAATAATTTTACAATGATATAAAATGTTGTTTATTACTTTTGTCATATGAGAAGCAGCAACGCTGATTAAAATGTAATTAGAAAGGAGTAGGTGGAAAGTACATAATTGCAATGATAAAAATCATCGCCAGCTGGTTTTTTTTTTGATTGAGTGTATGACCACAATGCTTCAAATTAAACTAATTGAATAAATAGTAAATTGTAAACCAATCACAATTTTAGATTTTATAACTGACATCAGTTTAAGTCCACTTACTGAAAAATTACTTAGTTTATATTTGCTTTCCTTAAATGAATATTTCTTGGAAATTAAGACCGTAGACCGTTAAACCTACTAAAAACTTATCAAAAAGTGAATAAGCTCTTACTTTTCTTTAGTCTTATTATTTGTTTTGATTTGAGAGTCCATTTAAAGGTAAAAACTTTACTAGATACTTTCACTGATTACTAAACTAAATTTGGGTTAGGTCACCGAAAAAATACCACTTAGACACATCAGAAAAGGAGTACGCAACCTACAGGACTTCATTCAGCATCACAGAAGACATTTCGACAGGCCCTAATCTCGTTTCACAGAGAGTACTTCAACGGGCTTATAAACTCTCCGTGAAAGGGTTTCTTGTAATCCAACCATCATCTCTTTATCAGATGAAAAGCTCGAGCTACCGCGTTAGACCGAAGTGATACCAGCACAATTAAGCTCTCTGTAGTAGACTTAACTAGACTACTTAACCTGACTTTACCCCGACACACTTCACGTATATCCGGCATACAATGAGTCCCCGTAAATATTATAGATCAAATTGTAGTCTATAGAAACCGATTTTTCACAGTAATTGCATGAAACCGTAAATTCCATTTTGTATAGAAATAAATGGTCTCAAACGTAAGCCGTTTTTAAAATTTCTGTAAATTTAATTTGTTTGTTCCGCAGTTTTTATTTAAAATATTCTGGGACTCCTAAGGGGGCTGCCAGGAATTACTCATTTTGAAGCTGAAGAAACGAAACAATCAGTTTTTACGCAAAACATAAATTTACTTCTACCCTGAAAAGATCTAAAACTGAAAGCCTTAATTTTTTCGGTATCGGAATCTATATACTTTACGTATAGTTCGTTCGGTTTTTACCTAAGAGATGGCGCTATTGTCCATAGTACGGCGCTGGAAACGTGTTTATTCGCGCTAAAAGCTTGCCTTTGACGGTTTTTCGATTGATTGACTCAGTGCGTTGTGAGCGCTCGTCAAAGATGGACACCAACAAAGAGAAAATTCGCTATATTTTACAATTTTTCTTCGATCAAGGCGAAAAAGCAGCCAAAGGGACTGAAAAAATTAATTTAGCTTATGGGCCCGACACTGTAAACGAACGTGTAGCACAAAAGTGGTTTGCTAGATTCCGTTCCGGTAGTTTCGATGTCAAAAAAGCACCAGGTTTTGCTGTGTGTTTGGTGGGATTGGCAAGGAATCATCTAAGACGAACTACTCCCTTATGGCCAAACGCTCAAATATGCCCTCTGCTGCCAACAAATGTACCGCTTGAAGGCAACACTCATCCAGAAGAGGCCATCTCTGATCAACAGAGGCCGAATTGTGTTCCATCAGAACAACGCCAGGCCACACACGTCTTTGGTGACGCGCCAAAAGCTCCAGGAGCTCGGATGGGAGGTCCTAATGCACTCACCTTATAGTCCGGACCTGACACCAAGTGATTACCATATTTTCCTGTCCAAGGCGAGCGCACTTAATTAAAACCGAACGAACTTTTTACTTGACCGTATAATGCAACGTCTCTCCGATGCACAAAAAAGCTTCAGAGTATCTGGGCCAAAACAAAATTATTAACAGCGATTTCTTTTACTAACTACAGCCTGTGCCGTTCAACGAAAAATGTTAAAAGCCCGGTCGTAGACGACCCTCGGTTAAGGGCTCAGAATAATATACGCGCTAGATAAGATAAACAAAAGGATATATACTTTGCCATGCATCTATAGTTGACTCCTATAGGCATATTAACTCAATAGAGATATTCTCCAAAATCGAATCGTACAATGTCATGCCACCAATTCGGCGCTAGAGAAGTGAATAATGCAACAGAGCAGGTGCTTAGCATGTAAGTAGTAGCTACACATGTAACATCAGCGTTTGAAAGTAATTTGATAAAGTTTGTCTATTGGGTTGCCCAAAAAGTAATTGCGGATTTTTCAAATGAAAGTAAATGCATTTTTAATAAAACTTAGAATGAACTTTAATCAAATATATAATTGCCATTTTGTTCGATAACCTTTTGCCATCTTCCTGGCAAATTTAGTATTCCACGCTCATAGAACTTCTGGCCTTTATCTGCAAAAAACTGAACCAAGTGCGATTTTATAGCTTCATCATTGCCGAAAGTTTTACCATTTAAGGAGTTCTGCAAAGATCGAAATAAATGGTAGTCTGATGGTGCAAGGTCAGGGCTATATGGTGGATGCATCAAAAGTTCCCAGCCAAGCTCACTCAGTTTTTGGCGAGTGACCAAAGATGTGTGCGGTCTAGCGTTGTCCTGGTGGAATATGACACCTTTACGATTGACCAATTCTGGTCGCTTCTCCTTGATGGCTGTATTCAATTTGTCCAATTGTTGACAGTAAACATCCGAATTAATCGTTTGGTTCCTTGGAAGCAGCTCAAAATATACGACACCCTTCCAATCCCACCAAACAGACAGCATAACCTTCTTTTGGTGGATATCAGCCTTTGAAGTGGTTTGAGCTGGTTCACCATGCTTGGACCATGATCGTTTTCGACTAACGTTGTTGTAAACAATCCATTTTTCATCTCCAGTTATGATTCGTTTTAAAAACGGATCGAATTCATTGCGTTTAAGGTGCATATCACAAGCGTTGATTCGGTGTGTTAAATGAATTTCTTTCAATACATGTGGTACCCAAATATCAAGCTTTTTCACCAGTCCAAGACTTTTTATGTGATAATGAACGGTTGATTTTGGTATATTTAACTTCTCTCCTATCTCACGCTCAGTTACATGACGATCCAATTCGATTAATGCTTTGATTTGGTCATCATCAACTTCATTTGGCCGACCTGAACGTGGCTCATCTTTAAGTGAAAAATCTCCAGAACGGAATTTGCGAAACCAATTTTGACACTGTCTTCCTTTTAAGGCTTCATCACCATACACATCTCGTAACTTTTTAGCAACCAGCTCCGTGGTTTTTCCTTTACAGAAATAATAAAGTAAAGTATGACGAAAATGCTCCTTTGTGGGCTCCATATTAAAATTTCTTTTTTTCTAAAGCAAGCTAAAAGTAACAGCTGATAACTGACAGAAGAAAGAATGCAATTACAGAGTCACAAGCCGTTGAAAAAGTTTGTCAACGCCGACTATATGAAAAATTCGCCATTACTTTTTGGGCAACCCAATAAATGAACTAATATTAGGTTGTCAAATATCTCCCTTCCGGCATCCACAACGTGTTACTGTTTGGTGTGGATTTTGGGCTGGAGGCATAATTGGAACACACTTTTTTGAAAATGAGTCTGGTCAAGCAGTGACTGTTACGGGTGCTCGATATCACGACATGATAACCCAGTTCTTTTTGTAGAAATTTAATGACAATGATGTGGCCAATATGTGTTTTCAACAAGACGGTGTCACATGTTATACAGCCCTTGATACACTTCAATTACTGCATGAGACATTTCCAGGGCGTGAACTCTCTCGTTTTGGTGTTTAGAATCGGCCCCCTAGAAAGTGTGATTTAACACCATTAGTCTCCTTTTATGAGGATTTTTCATTAAAGCTGCATTAAAGCTGTGTAGGTTGGAAAGGATCGGAATGGAAGTAGTAGTTTCATTCTTCTTGAGTTGAGTTGAGCTAACCTAGATGGAATTCCAACGCTACAGTCTAAAGCCTTTAGGATAATAAGTAGGGCTGCCAAGTAGAGATCGCTGTGAATTAATACCGTAATGAAAAAGATCGAAAAACTATGACAGAATTACTCGCTAAGCGATGCAATGGTAAATGTCAACTAATGTCGTAACTTTTACTAAGTTTGCATAAGAATAATTTTTAAAAATATCCTCGTCATTGTTACTTTCAAAACGAAAGATACAATAATTGCAAAAAAAAAATATTATATTTTCATGGTGAAAGAGCTGTTTGCTTTGCTTTCGCTATACGTTTGCTTCTTATCACTAGAACACAGTAACCATATCAGATCGGTAAAAATAAGTATAAGCATTCGTTATAAAAAAATTTACTCAGTTAAAAACAAAGGGCGACATGAAATGTGGAAATTACAGTACTGCTGAAAAGTATCAGGCCTACAACTTTGCTTCCGCCGTTTTCCGATAGTTGGCTGTACCGGCTGAGGCTGGTTGAAATACATAGATGATAATGCCTTTAAAGTGAGTGTGGACAGTGCCTAACGAATTGTCATCGCCGTTTCAGTGACAGTTGTTCTTGTTTTCGTATTATTCACGCTAGAAAATGTCCGTTTATGTGCCTAATTCTCGCCATTTGCGGGAAGTTTTACTTTTCTGTTACAAATCGAAAAAAAAAATGCAGCTGAAGCGCATCGAATGCTCTCAAAAACTTACGGTGATGCTGCTCTAAGTGAAAGAACGTGTCTGGCGTGGTTTCAACGTTTTAAAAATGGTGATTTCGATGTCGAAGACAAACATGGTGGTGGAAGAGAAAAAACCTTCAAAGATGAAGCATTGCTTTATGAAAATTTGCCAAACCCAAGAACAGCTTGCCGAATCGTTGGGAGTGAGTCAGCAAGCCATTTCAAAACGTCTCAAGGCCCTGGGCATGATTCAGAAAGAAGAAAACTGGGTGCCGTACAAGTTGAAACCGAGGGACATCGACGCAAAAGTGGTCAAAAAGTACCTGGAAACGCTGAAATGGGAAGTCTTGTCCCACGCGCCGTATTCCCCT